CTCAAAGCATCAGGTGGAATATAGAGCGTCGTGTTGTCATATAATGGGTCACTTGGTCTTCTGCTGTTAGCATCTCTGATTCGAGAAGGATGCAGCCATTCAAACTTACTGGTCATTTCAAATTCCACTTCAACATTCTTACAAACAGCAAAAGAATCCTGCAGTGTTTTAGCCCTCTTGTTCATTTTCAAAGGAGAACTGTCACCCTTTTCTTGAAGACCATAAGCATCCTCTTGAATTCGCTTAAGTCGAGGAACTAAAGGGCGTGTGCCTGGGGTTTCTGGTTCAAGATCATCATCAGTGGTGTCAATAAAAATCTGGTTCACACTGTCCCCTTGCATGACTTTTCTATTGAAATCTATGGGGGTTTCCTTCGTTAAGAGTTTACAAACCATTGGCACATCTCCATGTACAACTTCTGATCTTTGGCTTCCACAAGTAGCAGATGACATCTTTAAGGAACCGTCACTGGCTAGGCTTCTACCCATTACCCCAGAAAAATTGAAAATGATCATTTTTAGCTCACTTAAAGTCTTAACCATTTCTCTTTTTAGAGGAAAGTCTTAAGCATTTCAAATTCCATTGTTTATACACACACATGCATACATATAAATACATACTATCTTTATTTCATGTATGTCCTACAGCTGCAACAATTAAAGACTTTTATAGTAGTATCTCCATCAGATATTAGTGAACCATCAACGTGAAATGATAATAGTTCAATTTGAATCAAGTTACTCTGATGCCTGAGTTGTTAGAGAGCAAATGAACTCCAATTACATAAATATTTACCCATAAGAGCTTATGTATTTATAATTTTTAAAATTATTGAAGAGTAAAACTAGAGGTATTCAAAATTTAATTTTGCACCTATTTTCATTTGTCCAAAAGGTTGAATCCAACCCTAGGGGGGCCCACGCCCCGACCCGACAGAGCACATGGGAGGTTGTAAATCACGGTGACTCAAGCAATCCTAACGGTGGTAGACTTTATACCCGTGCGCACCAGAGGCCCGGCCCAACACATAGGAGCTGTGACCTCCACACGGTCGCTACGGGATTCGATCCTTGGTCATTTGTCCAACTTTCCCACCGCTTTACCAGTTGAGCTATCCGTGCGGGTTTGCACCCTATTTTCAGAACCAATAATATATACAACATAATATTAAAGTCTGAAATTTCAAACCATTTTCTAATGGGAGTTTGCACCTCATTTTAGCATATTTTCTTAACTTCAGGATGCAAATATTAAGAATATTGAAAATGTGGTTGCAAACTTGAGTTTGGATGAAAAGGAGGAGCAAATATGATTTCCAGAGTGAGGAAAATTGAAGAAGCTAACTCAAGAATTGATTTCCGAAAATGTTGTTCAATAAAAGTGGGAAAAATAACAATTGTAAATGAAATATCGTTTTCTTCTATTACCGAAAACATCACTCCAGGCATTTGAATGATATTGTAGCTTGGCAAAATGCTCAATGTTTAGCTAAAAACAAGTGCTACATTTCGACAAAATACCTATCTGAGGATTTCAACCCGTTATCAGACTTCAGGAACTTGTGCTTAATACTGGCGAAAACGGAAGGCTTAGTTGCTGTGTCGTCGTCGTTTGTAGGGAATATCTGACGCGGTACCTTTTCGGGAGGAGTCTCGATACTTCTAAGTTCTTCAGTTAAATCTAAGGAGGACGGAAGCAAACTAAACTTAGTCGGCGGGAGATCATTTTTATTGTGCTGAACGTGAGCAGTCTGGTGGCTGGTGGATATGGCTCCGCCGGATCGCTGATTCTCCGGCGAGGGTTTCTTCAGAAACGAGAGAATAGATGCCTGACGTTTCATTGCCCAAAGCAAAGAGCGTCGATTTGCTACATACACAGGGAGAAAGAGAGGAGCTACGAGGGATTCAATTCAGTGTGAAAGGAGGGGTAGATGTTGGCGCGAAAGCTCGATTTTCAGTCCCGCTGGCCTATCACTTGGAGCGGGAAGACCGGAACAACCTTACTACTTACTAGAGGGCAAATTACCATTAGGCTAACTAAAGCCCTCTTTCATGAATCAAATTGTCCGCCGCCAGTTTATAAGTATTCATTTTTTCTATTTAATTTTTTCCTCTGTTATCCAATAATGTCAGTATATATTTATTTACAAAAGTATTTTATATTAAATTCTTCTTTTTATTACTCCGTATTATATATCAATTTTTGTCAATTCTTTTTTGCGAATAATTATGATTTAAACTGTCAACTACGTAGTATTCAATGTAAAAAAAATATGGGGTTTATTTTTTTGTTACATCAAACCTATTCTTGAAAGAAATAACTGAAAAATGTAAGAAAATAAAAATTAATAATAAGATTTTAATTTTACCATTTTGATGTACTTAAGAACAATTTTAAGCCTAAAAAACTCTATCAAATGAAACTTCATATTTAAAAAAAATTATATATGACATATCGGCAGTGTTCTAAAACACTTCATAAAGCGCCGCCTGGGCGCGCTTAAGCTTGAGGCGCCATCAAAACGCCCCGCTTCCCATTATGCTTTGAAAAAGGCGTCTTAATAATATTATTTTAACTTAGAGTTCAAAGAAACTGAAGTTTTTCTCAAGCCGTTTTATTTCTGCTTCGCGCATGGCAAAAATCGGCCCAGAAAAGACGAGCCCTAAAAGTTAACTAAGCCCATAAGCAGCCGTTCGTCGCAATGAAATTCGCTGCCAAGTTGAAATTGTGAAAGGAGCTCTTATTTATACGTACATAGGGTGGAGAGTTTGTCCACTTCAACCGGTGTGGGATTTTGGAAATACGGAAGAAACAAAAAGAAGGTGAAAACCTTCTCCTGCAAACTTGGACACATTATGACTTTGGTATAACATTGTCTAACCAACAAACGATTAAACTTGCTCAAGACTATATAAATTGTAATTGACTATTCTTTCAATTATTATTAGAAAGAATTATATATTAGGAGTAATAACTAAAAAGATTGTTTATAAAAAATGATCTTTTAAGTGTATCAATTTTAATCATAGTAACTTATGTTCAAATTTATGTGTAAGTGACCACGACATTATACTATAATAAAATTATTTTGACAAATAAGTTTCTTATAAGTGATATATTTAAAAAAAAAAAACTTGCTATATTAATACTATAAAGTTTTATTTCTATTATTTATCATTCAACTAATTTCGAGCCTTTGTGGCTATATGCCTATATGAGTATTTGTGATTCTTATAACCGTTTGTATTTTATTTTTTTCGGAAAATTCAAAATATGATGTCATTTGTATGATAGTATCACATATCACATTTACATACTTACTAATTGCTCTAGAAATATTAAAATAATGAGTAAAAATTACAAACGCCTTTTCACGCCTAGGCCTCGCATACACCCGCCTAGGCTTCTAAGACTTGAGGCTTGGTCGTGCCGCCTTGACGCGCCTCACGTCTTTTAGAACACTGCATATCGGTGCCGTATGAAAGAACGTAATAAGTTATAAACTTAGATATATTTGTTATAAAATTGAATTACAATAAAAAAGTTATGTCCGTTTTTAAAAAAATGATATTTTTATTATGTGTGGGGCCATCTTGTTTCCTTACCTACTTCCAATTTTTTCTCCTCTCTCTTGCCGTGAATCCAGCCTCCAAACTCCCCATCCAAGGGTTCCCCAAGCCCATTGTAACCCCAATGTTCTAAAATGCGCAAGGCGTGCCAGGGCGTCACACCAAAGTCTTAAGCCTTCGAAACATAGTTAGTATACGAGTGGCCTAGGCTGAAAAGGCGTTTTGAGTTTTTACTAGTTTTTTTTTGTTTTCCCAGAGCTATTAGTTAGTATATAAATGTGATATTAGATAAAATCACGAAAATAATTATAAATTTCAATTTTTATAACGACCATATACTTCTAGAGTTCTAAAATCACAAATAGTAGTTGTAATTATGCTTACTACAAAAGGTAGAATTAGATAAGTAATTGGGTGATGAAACAACAAGTGTATTGTAATAATTGAAACATTATCTAATATATGACCAAACAAGGATTATAGAAAAAATATAACTTAATTAGTTTAGTGACTAATTGTGATCAATATTGACAATTAAAGTGGTTACAAAAGTGCATTCATAGTTACTTTTATCACATTTTTTATCTTTAATTTATGTTAGTAATATTTTAGAAAAAACCATGATAATAATAGAAGCAATGATAATAAGTGAAATGGTAGTAGTAATATAATATAAATTATATAATAATAGTAATAGTAATACAATAATAGTGAAATTAATGCTTAGCATAATCATATTGTTAAGTAATGTTCTAATACTATAAATTTTAAGAGTACATCATGTCAAGTGGGATGTACGATAAATAAATCCCACACCGGTTCTAAATCAGCTACCTGGTTCCGAATTCCAGCAAGTATAGTCAATGTTTCCCACACCAATTTGCAAAGGAGAATTTTTCTTTCGCACTGCTCTATAAATAAATTTGTCCTTACATCAATTCAAATAGGCGGCAACGTAACTTCAATCGCTAAAGAAAGCCCCACTACTCGGCCTTTATACAGCTACGGGCTTTTTAAACATACACGGGCCGCCTTTTTTCACCCTTCCCAGGTATGCGAGCCTTTTGGTCGGCGCCTTGAGTTTAGGGCCGCCTAAGGTGCACGTTTTAAAGCCTTTTAGAACACTAATTGTAGCACCCTATATATTATTTTCACCCTCTATATTGTTTTTCTGTTGGGTTGGAGTGATTTTGGGGTGAATGCATCAAATGTGGGATTTTCACCCCTTCCTTTGCGGTTAGTCTTATACAATATCATACAATAGCTATACATTTGGTTTGATTACCTAACTAGGTGTCATAGAGCCTTCACTGAATAATGAGGATTGCAAAGTGGGAGTGTCTGTAGTGAGACAAAGTTGGGAAGGCAGACCACAACGGGGTATTTGACAGTGTATCATTGATTGTGGTTGATAGACAATTTAATAATAGTCCTCGCAAGTGCACGAGTCGCGGTAGTACAGTGCTCAAGTAAGGGTCGAATCCACGGGGAAAATGCAACCAAGTAATTGGAAAACTATTAATTAATAAAAATAAAAGTGAAATTAACCTAACTAAATAAAATGAGTTTTAAACTTGTTTGGTTTTAAACTGACAAAGTAAAGAGTGAATTAAAATGAATGCAAGGGATTTAATTGAACAAAAATAAAGTAATTAAACAAATAATGTGAAATTGATTGAGAATTAAGCAAGAGAAAAGATAGTCCAGGATTATGAATCAGTCGCTAATTTTTAGTATTTGTGATTTAGTTAGTCAATTAGAATTGAGGGTTCGTTCTAGGCAAAAATATGACTATTCCGTATGGCGTCCAGAATAAGTCACGTACTTTAACTATTAATTAACAGGAAATTATTAATTCAATAGTTAAAATCCAATAATCACAATAGAACTACGGAAACCCGATTTAAGAACCAAATAGATAACTTAACAAGACAATCAAATTATCTATTCTTTTATCCAAAAGAGCTCGAACTAATAGGCATGGCGTGTACTCTATTAATCCACTCAAACAACTTCATTAATCATATTAAAGTTGGCCAGAAGTTAACACAACAAATTAAGCGAATAAGAACAATGGATACAACTCAATCAATTGACATAATCAAAATCACAATTTTATACTAAATCATAGCAACTTTATCATAGTCCTGGACTTAAGAAATTTAGCTATTCATACTGAAATAAAGTACTAGCAAAAAGGTAGGAAATAAAGAGTTCATCTTAACAACAAAGACATTAACCAATTGTCCCATACTCGAACAATTAAAGTAAAAAAAAGAAGTCAAGAATATGAAGGATAGCCGCTGATTCAAACCAGAATTTTTGGAGCAATGTTCTGAATTTATTTGCTAACTTTCTCAATGAAGAAAGCTCAGGACTGCTTCTTTACTCGGCTGAAATCAGGAGATCCTCTTCCTTCCAGACGCAATCTAATCCCACACCTCCTTCGGCACTTGGCTCCTCGCTCTTCGCCGCCAGCTTCCTCCTGCGTCACTGCTGCCCTACCGGCTTCGGCTCTTCTGTCTTCGCTACCCAGCCTTCTATCTGTTCTTGGGCCTATTTTTTTTCTGGATTGGGTTGCTGGTTCGTAAGTTAAGAGGAGCAATTCTCCTTTGCTAGACTCTTATTTCTTCTTCTAAAAAGTGGCTGCCGTCACTTAGAGGAGTAATCCTCTTTTTCATTTTTGTTTGCTGAGCAGTCCTTCAAAACAAAAAGTATTTGGCTCACTTCTTTTAATTTTCCAACAACCCTTTGAAAAGGAAAAATCTCCAAAAATCAATCCAAAAATCCTCAAATCCTTCAATAAAAGTTCTCACCGGTAAAAATCATTTTTACACAAAATATAAATCTCAACCTCTCAATTAGGCAAATAATAAGCATAGAATTGTGATAAAATTATACAAAAATGAAGTACAAATTCTAGCTCATCAAACTCCCCCACACTTGCATTTTGCTTGTCCTCAAGGAAAATTAAAATCAAGAAACTAATTCGGCAACCAGTGATCAATATTCTCTTCCACTCACCAAGCATTCCAACAAACCCCTCCATGACAAGATATCCCCAAAAAAATTCGAATCAAGTATCCACCACAATGTCAAACTCAAAAGGCAATTACCAAGACTCTCATGTCATTAATAGAGATGTATTTTACAATTCTAAATGACCTAGTGAAATGCTCAAGTAACTTTCACGGAAATTATGTTAAGTCCCAAGTCATTCAATCAACACTCTATTGTCATCTTATGCTCTTCCTTCCACCTTATCAAAGCACAAACTAATCAAGATCACTTAGGACTTTTATTCGGGTTGTAACGTGGCCAGGGGTAATGGGCTAATGAAAGAAAGGTTATGGGAATTCAAACAAAAGAGAAGACATTTTATGTACTAAACTGATCCTAGGAAGAGTTCAAAAACATGGTAACGGAGCACAAAAAAAAAACTATTACAACAATCAACCGGCTTCTAAGACAATGAAGTACATACAAAAAGTGAAATGAATACAAACTTCAACTCAACTCTTCTTCTTCTTCTTTTTTTTCTTTTCTGTTTTTTTCTTTTATTTTGCTTTTTTCAATTCTTTTTTTGAATGCTACATCAACACTACTTCTAAAAAGAAATATCAAACTGCTCTAACAATATTACATCTATACAATTTTACATCTATACAAACTGCCGGGGAAAAAAATGCTCCAAAAAAATTGTAAACTCTTCCAAGTCACAATTTAAGTAAAAAAAAACTGTCAACTCAAGGGTGAGGGATAATTTTGGCTATTTGGGTTCAGGGTCAATATTGATGGGTAATAAAGAAAAAATTATTAGTCAAAAGCATGGTAGAATGCTTTAAGACCAAGTAGGCTCAAAGGGGTAGGCTAAAAAGTTTCTGGTTATGAAAAATGGCCTAGATCACTTCTCAGTCAATTTGCACAATAACTTAGCTTCCAAAAGAGCAACAAGACAAGTTCTATCATGCTAACTAAACGACAAAGGACTCGCACTTATTCCTAGAGAGTTAGAGATGCATCCTAAAAGATCATAAAGAATTGAGACATACACCGAAATTAATGACACATGGAACTAAGAAATTGACTCCAAGTAAAAACAATGTGAAGGACTCGATCAAACTCAAGAGAAAATCTACCATGTAGACCACCAATCATACCACATACCAATGAAAGGGAAAATTTTCACAGCTTGAAGCCAAAGAAGTAATCCTGAAATTACATTTCCCTCAAATCCAAACAAGAAAACAGTTTTTTTTTTCAGTTTTTCTGATTTTTTTATTTGTTTTTGTGACTAAAATAAAACAAAAAACGAGAGCTACTCCTCCCCCACACTTATTTCAAGCATTATGCACAATGAAAGAATGATAAAAAGGAAAAGAAATACTCCCTGATGCACTACGAACAGGAACGAAACATCTTCAATATTATCTGCAAAACTAAAAAACTAAGAAAGAAAAGAACAGTATGGGGAGGGGAAAAACAGAATTAAGAGAATGATTTTTTTTTTTTGGTTTTTTTTAATATTTTTTTTTAAAGCATGTGATTAAACACAACAAGAGCAACAGTGTTCCCAAAGCTCAAGATTTTCAACTCGCTCCACCAAATCTCCACCACATGAATATCTCTTCACTCTCTCACCATTCACTTTAAAAATATTCCCGGATTTTGGATTTATAAGCTCAATTACACCATCGGGAAAAATTTGGCGAATCACAAACGGGCCAGTCCACTTAAACTTTATTTTCCCCTGAAAAAATCTTAAACGAGAGTCAAGCAATAGCACTTTAATTCCAGGTTTAAAATCTTTCCTTAAAATGGACTTGTGCTGAAAAAGATTAGTGCGCTTCTTGCAAACTTCCGCACTCTCATAAGCATGATTCTCAAGTTCATCTTCCTGCAACTTGTCCAAAGGAACAATAGGATCAAGAATATCAAGTGCAAAGCAACAACTAGAATCAGCTGACATGTTCATTGATTTCAAAATGGAAAACTCAACTGTCTCGTCAAGCACACTCATAGTCAATTTTCCATTTTGAACATCAATCATAGTTTTTGCCGTAGCCATAAAAGGTCTACCAAGTAAAATTGGCATGTCTTTCACATACTTGCACTGATCATCCATATCCAAAACCACAAAATCAGCAGGAATGATCAACTTATCAACTTGAACTAAAACATCCTCTACAATGCCCCTAGGATATCTAATAGAGCGGTCAGCAAGCTGTAGGGACATAGTAGTAGATTTAAGCTCATTCAGCCCTAATTTCAAGTAAACAGAATAAGGCATCAAATTAATACTTGCCCCCAAGTCAAGCATTGCTTTTTCAGATTTAGAATTCCCTAAATTAATGTTGATTATAAAACTGCCAGGGTCCTCTAATTTCGGGGGCAAATCTTTTTGTAAAACATCACTAACAGCCTTAGAAACAAAAACTTTTTCATTTGGTTCATACCTACGCTTTCTAGTGCTCAATTCTTTCAAAAACTTAGCGTAGGCAGGCATGTTTTTTATCATGTCAAGAAGAGGCAAGTTCACATTAACTTTGGACAACAACTTATAAATCTCTTCAAAAGAACTGTTAAGCTTAGAACTTTTTAACCTGTTTGGAAAAGGAACGGGTGGAACATATGGCTTAGGCGGCACATATGGATCTTCAGCTTCGTGCAGCCCGGTCTCCTCATTCACTGATTCAGCTTCAAGTTCTTTATTTTCAGCTTCTACCTCTTCTGGTGGCTTCAAAATGGGCTGCCTTTCATCTTTCTCAATTATCTTCCCACCCTTCAGAACCGTGATAGCTTTTGCCTCCTCGGTGTGGCTCGGTAGCTTCCCTTGCACATGGCCTTGTAAACACTCAGCAATCTGTCCAACTTGTATCTCTAGCTTCCTCAAAGAGGCCTCGGTGCGCTGAAAACGCTGATCGTTTGCTTGCTGATTTTGGGTGCAGATTTGCATGAAAGTTTGCAAAGTATCCTCCAAAGCAGGCTTCTTTTGGACAGGTGATGGCTGGTTGCTTTGTTGTGTGTTACTCCAAGAGAAATTATGATGGTTCCTCCAATCGGGATTGTAAGAGTTTGAGAATGGCTCATTTCTTGGCCCGTGATTGTAGGAGTTCATCATATGAGCTTGCTCAAAACCAGCTTCAGGTACTGCATGCACAACGGGAGTAGACATGCTCATTGTCATCACATAGCACATATTCTTCATCTGTTTGGACAACTCGGACATCTGGATGGCTAGTTCTGTCCCAACTCCCACTTCATAAATTCCTGGAGTTCTGCCACACACACGCTTCTGTTGTGAATTGGCTCCGAGCATATCAAAAAGCTCTAAAGTCTGTTCTGCGGTCTTCTCTCCCATTGCTCCTCCAGCTGCGTTGTCAACAATAGCTTGACATCCTTGGTTTAAACCGTCATAAAAGGTCTGATTCTGGAGCGCCAATGAATAACCGTGGTGTGGACATTGAGTGAGCAGCATCTTAAATCTCTCCCACGCCTCATGAAATGGCTCACCTTCAGCTTGAGTAAAATTGGCAATTTTTCTTCTTAATTCTGAAGTTTTTGACTGAGAATAATACTTGCCAATGAATTTATTGTAGACATCAGCCCATGTGCGCAGGGAACCAGGTGTCAAAGACATAAACCATGTCTTAGCAGCATCTTTGAGAGTGTACGGAAAGCACCTCATCCTCAGCTCATCTTCAGTCACTCCTTGCAAGGGGAAATTCTGAACAATGCCATAGAAGTCTCGAATAAAAATCAGGGCATCCTCAGATGAAAGCCCATGAAAAGATGGCAATTGGTTAAAGTGAACCGTCTTTAGATCATAGTTTCGAGCAGCCTCACTCAGTACAATGCAGGATGGGGAGACACCTACAGTTGGTCTCCCGAACTCTTTCATCAGTGTAGCGTCACCCATTGTTGGATTAGAAGCAAATTTGAGCCTCCTCTTTATCCTTTTGCCAATTAAATCTACTTGATCGTTCAGCGGAATCAAATCTGGATTAAGTGACCTGCGACCAAGCATACAAAAAAAAAACGAAAAAAAAGAAAAACAAACACAACTAACTAAATAAAACAAAATTAACAATTTTCCAAAAAACTAGTTAAACAAATTCCCCGGCAACGGCGCCAAAAATTGATAGACAATTTAATAATAGTCCTCGCAAGTGCACGAGTCGCGGTAGTACAGTGCTCAAGTAAGGGTCGAATCCACGGGGAAAATGCAACCAAGTAATTGGAAAACTATTAATTAATAAAAATAAAAGTGAAATTAACCTAACTAAATAAAATGAGTTTTAAACTTGTTTGGTTTTAAACTGACAAAGTAAAGAGTGAATTAAAATGAATGCAAGGGATTTAATTGAACAAAAATAAAGTAATTAAACAAATAATGTGAAATTGATTGAGAATTAAGCAAGAGAAAAGATAGTCCAGGATTATGAATCAGTCGCTAATTTTTAGTATTTGTGATTTAGTTAGTCAATTAGAATTGAGGGTTCGTTCTAGGCAAAAATATGACTATTCCGTATGGCGTCCAGAATAAGTCACGTACTTTAACTATTAATTAACAGGAAATTATTAATTCAATAGTTAAAATCCAATAATCACAATAGAACTACGGAAACCCGATTTAAGAACCAAATAGATAACTTAACAAGACAATCAAATTATCTATTCTTTTATCCAAAAGAGCTCGAACTAATAGGCATGGCGTGTACTCTATTAATCCACTCAAACAACTTCATTAATCATATTAAAGTTGGCCAGAAGTTAACACAACAAATTAAGCGAATAAGAACAATGGATACAACTCAATCAATTGACATAATCAAAATCACAATTTTATACTAAATCATAGCAACTTTATCATAGTCCTGGACTTAAGAAATTTAGCTATTCATACTGAAATAAAGTACTAGCAAAAAGGTAGGAAATAAAGAGTTCATCTTAACAACAAAGACATTAACCAATTGTCCCATACTCGAACAATTAAAGTAAAAAAAAGAAGTCAAGAATATGAAGGATAGCCGCTGATTCAAACCAGAATTTTTGGAGCAATGTTCTGAATTTATTTGCTAACTTTCTCAATGAAGAAAGCTCAGGACTGCTTCTTTACTCGGCTGAAATCAGGAGATCCTCTTCCTTCCAGACGCAATCTAATCCCACACCTCCTTCGGCACTTGGCTCCTCGCTCTTCGCCGCCAGCTTCCTCCTGCGTCACTGCTGCCCTACCGGCTTCGGCTCTTCTGTCTTCGCTACCCAGCCTTCTATCTGTTCTTGGGCCTATTTTTTTTCTGGATTGGGTTGCTGGTTCGTAAGTTAAGAGGAGCAATTCTCCTTTGCTAGACTCTTATTTCTTCTTCTAAAAAGTGGCTGCCGTCACTTAGAGGAGTAATCCTCTTTTTCATTTTTGTTTGCTGAGCAGTCCTTCAAAACAAAAAGTATTTGGCTCACTTCTTTTAATTTTCCAACAACCCTTTGAAAAGGAAAAATCTCCAAAAATCAATCCAAAAATCCTCAAATCCTTCAATAAAAGTTCTCACCGGTAAAAATCATTTTTACACAAAATATAAATCTCAACCTCTCAATTAGGCAAATAATAAGCATAGAATTGTGATAAAATTATACAAAAATGAAGTACAAATTCTAGCTCATCAGTGGTAATGCTTTACATAATTGAAGTAGGAAGAGGAAGTTGGGTTTTCAAGCTAGGATTGATCAATGTAGGCACATACTGACTTACTTGCGGAGTATGTATGATATGGGAAGTATAGAAGAATTCAAGAGAGTAAAAGTGGTCTTGTTTGATCTTCTAAGGATGTTTTTACTTGGACTGTAATTTGCCCCAGACCAGACCAGACTTGGATAGTTATAACAATACAAAGAAACCAAACCAGACTAGACCAGTTCAGACCAGACCAGTTCAGACCAGACCAGCAAGTAAAAACATCCTTAAACAACAAGATGATTTTTGAAAACAACGAGCTAAGGAGTTCTGGATGAAAGAAGGAGATATCAATACAAAATTCTTCCATAATTCAGTAAAACAAAGAAGACGTATCAATACCTTGAAAGGGCTCAAGAATCCTAGTGGTAAGTGGGTGTGTGACAAGGGACAACTAAAAGTTTTGATATAAGAATAATTTTTAGGGTTGTTTACATTAGATGGAGCCAACATGAAACAAGAGGATTGACAAGGCTTAGCTCGAGTTCTGAGCAGTGACAATGATCGCTTACTCGGGCCTATCATGATGGATGAGGTCAAGAAAGTAGTTTTTTATGCATCCCGATAAAGTACTAGGGCCTGACGGTCTTAAACCAGATTTTTTTCAGCCTTACTGAGATCTTGTGGGGGCATGTTATTTTTTATTATTGCAAAAACATTTCTGAGGGTGGTTATCTTCCTGATGGGGTCAACGTCACTAATTCAGTCCTCATACCTAAAGAGAGAGAGTCATGAAAATATGGGCGATTGGATGCCTATTGCTTTTTGTTCTGTTGTTTACAAGATTTTTGCTAAGCTCATAGCAAATTGGGTAAAAGGATGTTTAAATCATCTTATATCTAACACTCAAAGTGTTTTTATCCCAGGTAGACCTATAGTGGATTATATTATGATAACATTTCAAACTCATTACCACCTAAGAAGGAAAACTCAAGGTAAAGAAGGATTTGTTGCTATAAAACTGGATATGAGTGAAGCATATGATAAGGTAGAATGAGATTTTCTTTTAAGGTGATGGAAGTTATGGGTTTTGCTCTTAATTTGACTCGGCTGATCCGTGCTTGTGTGGTGGGTGTGGAGTATTGCAATCCTTTCGATAGAGCTATTATTGGGCCGACCAGACCTCAAAGGGGACTCTGTCGGGGGGGAGGGGGGGGGTCATCTTTCCCCTTCTTTTGCATATGACAATTATTTTTCGCGGGACAAGGGATGAGGAAGGTCTTGCGATCAAAGAAATTTTACATGCGTATGAGTGTACCTTGGGATAGAAAAGAAACTTTGATAAATCCTCAATTTCTTTTTGTCTTAATGTCCAGGGGAAAGACGGGATATGCAGTTGTTTAGGAGTTTCAGATGGAGAGATGTGCAGTCGCTACATGGGACTACCTACGCTAATGGGGCGGCAAAAAACATAGATATTGAGATATTTGAGAGAGAGAATTATGAAGAAGATCACGAGTTGGAATAATATATTTTTGTCAAAAGCATGGAGGGAGGTACTTTTGAAAACGATTGTTCAAGCAATGTCTTCCTATGCCACGAACGTGTTCCTCCTACCCCTTAATTTGTGCTCGAAAAAAAGACTAATGAATGAATAATGGTGGCGGGGAAAGGATCTGGAGGGGCGCGACATACGATGGAAGCCTTAGAAAGCTTTATGCAGTTCCAAATCTAAAGGTGGGTTGGAGTATCGTTTGGTGAAAGAATTTAATATTGCTATGTTGGGATAGCAAGTTCGGCACTGCACTAACGACCTGGAGTCGCTGGAGGTAAGGTCTTTAAAGTCCGTTATTCCCCCAAATCTTCTTTTCTGGATGCAAAGCTGGGAAGTAATCATTCTTTTATCTGGAAAAGTATACTTGAAGCCCATAAAGTTATTCGAGGGGGGACGAGGAGGAAAGTGGGTAGTGGTCAGGCTATTTTAGTTTGGAATGACAGATTGCTACCGGGAGAATGAATAAGTTTATTTACTTTAAACAAGCTCAATGGAGTTTCTTGGCAGGAGTGGGTGGAGAAACTTTTCAGTAGTCTGACAGAAGAGGATTTATGCAGATTTATTGCTCTCATGTGGGACATATGGAAGGAATGTAATGAGTTGATATGGTAATCAATGTTTAATTCTTTAAGAGTGATAAATATGGGAGTTTCTGTACTTCTAGGATGGCAGACTGCACAGGGCACCATTGGGGCAAGTAGAGCAATGGAAGCAATCGAGACCTGTTGGACTACATCAGCTATTGGAACAATCAAGATCGATGTTGATGAAGCTACTAATGATCGTGAGGGAAGAAGAGCCTAGGATGGATTACACTAGACCATAACAGTGAGCTTATTCGAGGTGAATAAAAATCTCACACAGCGGACTAGTCGGCAAGCATTACGAAGGCACTTGATGTTCGAGCGTAACTCATATGAGCGAAGAATTAAGGATAGAATCAGACTGTGCTAAAGACATACGCACAACTGATCACGACAAGATTGGAGGAAAGTTCAAGATTTTCTTATTCACATGCTATAATTGATGATATTAGACACAATATCCAGAATGAAACTAGGTTTGTTGTCCAGTTTGTAAATTATATGTGAATCATGTGACCCATAAGCTTGCTAGGGTCACATTATTCAATGCACGTAGTGGTTTTTTTATGTTAATTTGTCTTGTATTTTGAGTGAGATGTCGAATGATTGTTTGAATTAATATATGTGATTTTTGTCTTTAAAAAAATAAACATTCAATCAGATGAGAAATATTCAAATTAGATGAGAAAGGTTCATTACAGACCAGATGGATTCAGATCAGATCACAAAAATTCAGATAAGATCAGACTATACTAGAAAGATTCAAATTAGAACAGATTAGAAAGATTCATATCAAATAAAAAAGATTTAGAACAAATCAGAAACATTCAAATCTGATTAGATCAGATCGAAAAATTCAAATCAATTCAAACCAAATCTTAAAATATTCATATCAGAAACAAAAGTTATTATTTAAAAAATGGCTTTTGGAAATGACACCTCTCCAAATCTCGAACTTCTTGTCTCGATATACCATGAACCTTCTGGATACTACTAGATGACTCAAATCGCGGAGAAATTAGCCGAATCTTCCAGAATACTTCTTCCATATAATAATATGTAGCTCACTTCTCCTTCTTCGCCGTTTCCATCGTTTCCTATCCCGATCCCGATTGAATTAATTACTGCAGTTTTCTTTGATCGAATCAATATTTTCGATGCCTACTCGTCCGGTCGGAGGAATAGCCCAGGACTGGGAGCCGGTGGTGCTTCGTAAGCAAAAGCCCAAGTCCTCAGAGCTCCGCGACCCGAAGGCCGTGAACCAGGCGCTTAGGACCGGCGCTCAGGTTCTGACCGTGAAGAAATTTGACGCCGGTTCAAACAAGAAGGCTCCGGCAACGGCAGTGAACGCAAGGAAGCTGGACGAGGCGGCGGAGCCGGCTGCGCTGGACAGAGTTCCAGCGGAGGTGAGGCTGACTATACAGAAGGCAAGGATAGAGAAGAAATTGACACAAGCGGAGCTAGCAAAGCAGATTAACGAGCGAACTCAAGTGGTCCAAGAGTACGAGAATGGAAAGGCTGTGCCAAACCAGGCGGTGCTGGCTCGGATGGAGAAGGTTTTGGGAGTCAAGCTGAGAGGGAAGCCAAAATGATTGATTGTGTGATTGATTGTTGAGATAGAATAACTTTCAACTACGTTGGGTTGTGAATTTGTGATGTCTTGGAAGTAGGGGTGGGTTCGGTTCTTGCGGTTCGGTTTTGACCTAAAACCAAATATAGAATCAAAGTAAAAAGTTCGGTTCGGTTTCGGTTCGGTTTTACACTCCAAAACTTGGAATCACGGTTTGATTGGTTCGGTTTGTTTCGGTTCGGTTTCGGTTTTTTCGGTTTTTTACCAAAAAATTATCACTTGATTCAAAATTGATATAATACTTAGAGGGATCAAACATATTACATAAAGAATGCAAGCACAATACAACGACAAATAAAATAAAAATGAGAAGAGATAAATATGTCTTGAATTATATGAGTATGCGAGATAGATAAAACTGTATATATTATAGATTTAATTTGTTTGTGAGTAGTTCGAAAAAAGTTCATGAATATATACATTCTATACTTCTATGTGATATAGTTAAGTTGAATATTTATTGTTTTATCAATATAAATCTTTAAGTTATCGAAAAAAAGTTAATTACTACTAATAACTAGTAAACACATATTATCATCATTCAATATAGCTACATTATTACAGACAATGAATGTGTAAATGAATTTATAAACTAAATTAAATTAAACATAACACAAACATTATTTCTCTAACAGAAGAAAACCGAAGACTATTGATGATATTACGATTAATTAGAAGTAATGCTTAACAATTAAATTATAAATTTCATATTTTAAATAGTTCGGTTTGTTCGGTTCGGTTCGGTTTTGAAGGGTAAAAACCAAAACTGAACCGAACAACTTCGGTTCGGTTCGGTTTTTTACATTCGGTTTCGGTTTTATAGTGGTTCGGTTTTATTTGGTTGCGGTTCGATTTAATTTGATTCGGTTTTCGGTTTTCGGTTTTTCGGACCCATCCCTACTTGGAAGTCAGAATTGCTGTAATGCGAATTCTCAATGGATGAAGCCATTTGTATGTTATAAACTTGTACTCCATATATACTATATTATACTCCCCCGTCCAAGTTTCCGTCCACTATTCACATGGTCAACTTAAATCATTTTTAATTTTTTATTTTATATATCAAATTTTTATCAAATTTGCATTTTTTAATCAAATTTTATAGCGGTTTTAATGTATGTTCTGAATATGTAAATTTTATTTACTAAAAATAATCAGAGTGTGAACATGGATTAAGTTTTTTATCGTCAGTCAATTATCGTAAACCGTCAACGGGAACCACTAGGAATAAAACCATTTTCACACATTTGCCCCCATAAAAAAAATGGATTGCCCATTTGCCCCCAATAGATCTAGAATCTAGTTGTTCATTCCAGTTCTAAAAGCATAGAAATTCAAACCGAGTGTAAGTTTGAGGCAACGATTATTATTTTTTAAACTCTTGACAGAACCAATTGCATTTCCATAAGTGCGGAAGACAAAAAATAACCTTTATCCACAAAAGCATAACAACAAGAATTCAAGAAGGCATCGAAGACTAATGTAATTCAGCTACTAACAGTACTAAGTATTTAATTATCTAGACTGAAGTCTTTTTACACTAAAGAATTGAAGTGGGTCGATGTATTATTTAAGTCTCTTAAGTCCGATTGGGATCCTCTACCCGACTAGGAGGGTGCCTTGCGCATTGGACGGGAAGAGAGCGGCCAACACGACCTCGAGATCGGCAAAAAAGTGGAACTCAAGATTTCCGACCGTTGAATTGTCGATTGGACGACCGGGAGGAAGCAAAACACTCTACCTTACTTTAAAGTAAGGTAGAGGCTCCGGATCCCTCTTAAGTCTATTTTATTCTCTCACCGTCCCTAAATAAAAATCTCTCCTTCCTTTTCATGTAGTCACTAAATAAAAGCTATCTTTCTGTCTTTAGCAAACAAAACATTGAAAACAGTGCCAAACAATCTCACTTTCTTAAATTGTGTGTAAAATGAATGTGAGCTTTTATATAGGAACTGAGGGAGTTTGAAGAATTTAATTATCTAGACTTTAGAGATGTTTTTAACCTATATGTAATAAACAAACAAATTAACTTATCCAAATTTATAAAAGTCTTAGTAAGTAGTGTAGTAGCAGGTCAAATTTAATTTAGTGACATTCTAAAATTTTAAAAAATATATCGTAATGTCAATAACACTTATCTTAATGTAAAATTAACCTCATGCTAATGTAATTAACACTATTTGGTTAACAATATTATTAATATAGTTGAGCTTTATCACGATGTTTTTTTGTTATGTGGAACGCACAAGTCTTGAACATGAAACTAGTGTTTACATTAACAATATGTGATAGCTCATCCAGGGTTTCGTAGCTTGAAAACTTTCTCTGACTCATGGTGCAAACAAGAAAACATTTTTCACATCCATTGACATAAAGGCTTTAAGAACTAGCTTTGACTTTGCAAGTTGTCACGACAACTGTCACATGAGGTTTTTCTGTGGTGATCAGTTTTTAAGTGAATTTTTTATTGAAAGATATATACTTGAAAGGGTCACAAATGAAATTGTAGCAATCATCTTTAAATGATGAAATTATCTTATACTTTATAAGAAATTTTTGCTATTCTCTCCAATGTATTTTATTTAGTTTTTGTCTGGATGTATTTCTTTTATTATCTTGCCCCCAATACTTTCTTTTTCTGGATCCGCCACTGTGGACGGAGGGAGTACTACATATATCTGCCTTGGTTAAGATCGTAGAATTCTCGATCGAATGAAAAATTAATATGCCTATCGTGCAATATTGACGTGCACTTGTCGTGAGGTGCACTCAAAATAAATACAATACGACACTGATACGTAGTATAGTGTAGTAAGGTTCGTATCCACAGGGAAAGGAACACTTCTCTTTTTATAGAATTAAAGATACGTAACAAAGGGGGGGTTTAGGTTTGAGTGATTTAATTAAAATTAAACACGAAGATGAATGAGTTATGTGATTTAATTAATGAGAAGAATACTTGGCTTTGCTTTTATCCACTTAATGAAATGTTCGTCGATCCCGGTTATATCTTTAACTATCTTCCTCTCGAATACTCAATCGAGGAGTATATCCAATTCATCGAGGGTAGTTATTAATAACGAGACGCGTTCATTAATAAAACTTACTACCGAGTTAATATAGAACATGCGCCGTATATTCACTCGATAGTAGCAATAAAATCAAGATGAAAACAATTGAGATTGATAACCTCAACACAAGCGGTTTATTGGTTTAATCAATATAATTAATTCCCCTTGGTTTATTAACCATGAAACGCATGCATTAATAACCCAAGTTTACTATCGTGAAAGGACCGAATTAATAACAAGCGTATTAATCGACCGATTCTAGTAATAATTAATATATGAAACAAAACTAGTTGATCCTTTAAGTAATGTTCAAAATATTAATATGAAATATGAATAGGAATTAATTAATACTCAAGGAAGAATATTAAAGAAGATGAATCCTACTATAGTTAATATCAAGATGTCAACTAATTGTCATCTTAGTAACACTCCCCGATATTAACGTAGAGGAAGAAATAACTATTACTATAACTAATGTCAAGATGTTAACTAATTGTCATCTTAGTAACACTCCCCAACATTGATATAGAAATAGTATTTAAAGAAAGAATTAATATTCAAGGAAGAAGATTAAAGATAATAACTCACAACTTACAAATTCATTAAGCTTCAAAGTAGCAAAACCAAGATGGAAGAGTTTAGCTCCTCATTTGGAGACTAAACATGATGAAAAATATAAAGAAAGAACTTGTCTAAACTGAGCTAAGAAGTATATGTGAATTGGTGATCTTCTTGTGGAGGAAATGGGGTGTATTTATAGGCTTTTTAGGCTTGCAGGGTCGTGTACCCGATCGGGTTTTCAGCCCACTCGATCGGGTACCATATGTGGCTTCGGCGAAGCTGAAAAATGGGGTTATACCCGATCGGGTCTGTCGGTCACCCGATCGGGTATGGACACCCGAACGTGTTTAAAAATCTTCCCGCATGATGTCTTGTTCCCGGATTTGATTTGATTCGAAATTTCAGAAGGGTACCCGACCGGGTATAGGTCATACCCGATCGGGTACAGACCAAAAACGAGATCTTCAATCTTTTTCTTGCATTCTTGCACCTTCCTTCCACTGGTGATGTTCTCCAAAGTGTATTTGGACCTGTTTGAGCTCAGAATAAACCTAATCTAAACATATTACAAATATTTTACAAACTAAACTGTTTACACCAAAAGTGTGTAATTTCCAAAGTAACAATCACTCGAAACTAATTAAAAGTACAAATTTAAATATGGAAATTACACGAATGTCTATCGTGCAATATGCGTTAGATTACGAACACAGTATTGATTCTAAAAAAAGGCCCGAACCCGCCGGGTCGGTTCCTATTTTGGGTGACCCGAGCCTGCCCTGTGTAACCCCTGGGCCGAGCCTACCTGGACCGGTCTCTGGCCGGGCCACCGGGCTGGGCCGGTTCCCAACAGTGCTGGGCCGGTTCCTATTTCTTCTCTAGTTTCTTTCTCCATACCATTTTATTACTTGTGCAATTCCACCCATCCTTTTTCAACTTACGTACATTTCACCCATTTCTCCTTTCAATTATTCATTTCTATTACTTTCCTCTACAACTACTTTTCTTTCTTCTCATGAGTCATATATGGTTGTAGAAAATCTGAAAATTGAGATACTAATGAACTAGATTTTTGGAGAGAGAGGCATTGGATGAACGCATATTGTGGACATAAATCGATGAATTAACAAATCTTGGGAGAGTCAGGACTCAGAAATCAAAAGAGTTGAAGGCGGAGTATTTGTGGAAGGGTAAATATGTTGTCATTTCCTTCGTTATTTTTACTGATAAAGAAAATGATAAAATATTTTTTGACGGATTTAAAAAGGAAATTGATAAAGGTATAGGGGTGAGAGGGAATATGGGAAGCGTATACTGTACAACCGGCTGTACGGTGCCATCCGTACAGCCGGTGGCATTTTTGCAATTTTGATGAAAAACACGACTTCTTTTGAATGAGCATTAACGCAATTTTGTTGAGCATCAGATATGTTCTTTTGAGTATTAGGAGTCTAACTGTGAGCATCAGTGATGTCTGCTTTATACCTTATACATCACTTTCTGTTTATTATTTTTCGTTTATTAAAAAGTCTTAAGTTATGTCTATAATCAATTTCAATTACTTTTAATAAGTGAATCTAATGTAGTATTATATGTTTGAAATGTGCAACCTTTTAAAATGAGCATTAAACAGTACCAAATGAGCCCACATAACTTACAAAACGAGTATAAAAAAATCAAAAAGCGCATTTGTGTGTGCTCATTCATTTGAACGTTATACTCATGTGAATTTAACATAAAACACATTTCTAATGTAGTATGATATGTTTGAAATGTGCAACCTTTTAAAATGAGCATAAAGCAGTACCACATGAGCACACATAACTTACAAAATGAGTATAAAAAAAATAAAAAAACGCATTTATGTGTGCTCATTCATTTTGAACGTTATACTCATGTGAATTTAACATAAAACTCATTTCTAATGTAGTATTATATGTTTGGAATGTGCAACCTTTTAAAATGAGCATAAAGCGATTCCAAATGAGCATACATAACTTACAAAATGAGTATTAAAAAATTCAAAAACTCATTTGTATATGCTCATTCATTTTGGGCACGACACTCATTTGAGTTTAACATACAAACTCAGTTCTTATGTGTCCAATATTCATCTGTGTATATTCATTCCTTTTAGACATTATACTCATTTGCCTTTAATATTAAACTCATTTCGATACAGACATCCACAAAGAGCTTTCAACTCCTTTCCCATTTTCTTTCTATAAGCCAGCCCAGAAACAGGGGGTGGGAAGAATTGAATCTCAGGTCAAAAGCGAAATTCACGTTTGGCTGCGCAATCAATCGGAGTATGTGGCGGCTTGGGCTGCTTCGCGAGTTGGAGACCTGGGAAGTCGACGTTCCGTCTTCATCGATGCTCTTCTTCTTCTTCTTCTTCGCAGATGAGTTGCAGCGTGCAGATTAATTACAAAAAAACCCGGTTGTACCATGTGCACGGTACAGTCGGCTGGACCATGGGATTTACGGGGAATATGTGAATGGGAAGAGGAGTCCACGTAGTACAGTAAATCAACATAAATTATAGATAAAATCACATAATTATCCGTATATACATAAACATGACTGTGCCCGACCGCAAATTATATGGTACAAAATGTATGTCATAGGGCAAGGAGCCGTGCAATCAATATTTCTGTAATTAAACGGCGCGGGATTGGGAGTTGATCAGGTTCGTCTTCAATACCATCGTCTTCCTTGATCGTGGATGAGCAAAACGAAGAGAGAAAGATCTCAAGAGTTGATCAGGTTCGTCCCAGTCAGAGCCCTTATCGAAATTCTGCGAATAGCTGTATTCATCGTATCTGGGAACATGCACAGATCTCGACAACTCGAATCTGCTCTTCCTCCTCTTCTTCTCTTTCAGGAATTTCCTCCAAATGGCTTTCCAAACAGACCATTTCTTGGCAGGTTCCGCAGCCTGATGCTCGTCGGAACCATGCTCAAACTCCGGATCATAATGGCGGCCCAACTGGATACTTCTTCCTCCCGTGCTAAAGCTTCTGGACCATCTTTTTGTCTGCATATCTGCTAACTTTTCAACATTGACAGTTAATATAGATGGTATGATCTTATTCAGATAGTTATAGGTACGCCAGACGCGCAGCTCTGTTGTGTGAAAATTGGATTGGGGTTCAAAGACAGATCTTTTGGGTGGCATTTAAGGACCATGAAGACTTATTTAGAATATACTCCGTACTTCGTATATAATAATGTGTATGTGTTACTGTCGATAACAACTGGTTTAGTTTGACCAACAAAATTATGCACCCGGGTTGTTGATGGTTAGTATTAATTAATTACCACCGGTATCAAAATGCGATTCTACTTAATGAAGTAAACACCACCGGTATCAAAATTACATTCAAAATTTTAAACACAAAACACACTTATTTAAACAATGCTATCTTTCTAATATTTTTGAAATAAAATCTTCAATGATGTCTTCATATGCAATTTTCTCAGGTAGATCACATTGAGACTTTCTTGTATCATTGTAGATCACATGTAAGACTTCAACTAGACAATTTAAAAAACAAATGGGAACACGTGAATTAAAAAAAAAAGCATAGCAATAAGCAAAAGAAAATATGAGTGACAATCAATTAGAAAAAAATGGGAACTGAAGCACCTGAATTGTTGAACACGTGAATGAATGAGTGACAAAAGGATAGCAATAAGCAAAAGAAAAGATGAATTGAATATTGAAGAACACCGAGAACAATTTGTGCCCCTGCTAGGAGTGCCAAACAAAGTAGAGTGCTACTGCAGTTGCTTTCTAAAAAAAATACTCCGTACGTAAAAGATTGTTGGCTTGTTGCAGATCGGCACTCAGAAGTCAGAAAGCGTAAGAACAGTAGAAGAATGAATTGAAGCAATTGCCAAATCACTAAATCAAATTAATGGAGTTTGGATGAAATTGGGATATCTGATATTCGGACGATTGGGTATTTAACGAAAAAACCTAACACTAAAATTTAATCCATACCGACAACCTTTATTAACTCTACTAGTATGCTCAAATCATTCTGATCTTCTTGTTCGGCATGCCGCTTCGTTTCTTCAAAAAAATGCGTATAAACGAGGAGGTCTTTCCGTCTTCCCGCTAGTGTAGCGACTAACGCGGACTGATCGACGAGGCAAGCAGCCAAGCAGGCGCGCTTCACAAATAGGAGGTTGGGCCACCGTTGAAGGTTATTACTCCGTATAAAAAAACTGTTGGGCCTAGGTATAATATGCTCTTAAAAATGGAGGCCCTCTTAGGATTGGAGGCTCTGTGCAGGTGCTCCATTTGCACCTGGGATGGGCCGGGCCTGATACTAGGCTTGCTCGAAGAATATCCAAACTTCGTTATAAAAGAAGACAATGAAACTAAGGTTACTTCGTACGCATAGCTGACAAGGATTTACAACTTTTCATACGGTGCTAAATAGCAACAACAAGAGCCTGTTTAGTAGCACAAAAATCGGCTGATTGTGCTGAAATTTATGAAGTTGTGGCTGAAGTGGCTGCATTGACTGATTCTGTTGATTTAAAGAAAAAATATTTTTAAAATATATTTATTAATAAAATAAAGAAAAAATAATATATACAAATAGCTAAAATGGTCATCTACAGTAACTTCAGCCAATACAGCCAGAAAAGTAACTCCAGCCTTACTTTGTCGGCTTATTACACAATTCAGCGCGCGAAAGTAAAAGTTGAGTGTTTGGTGAAAAAGTTATTTGTTAAACCTGATAAGCCGAAAAACAGTTGTGACAAACGGCCTCCAAGAGACACTACACCATATTTCACTACGCATCCATCCCTAACGTTACTACTAGCTGATTCAAAAGATGTATTCACATTGAACTTCTAAACTTCCTGTATTACTGTATATTCCTTTTGACAATATTGCAGACATATTTATTAAGCATTCTTTTTATTTGATCCAATATATATGCATAAGTAGACTAGTTTGTTAGAAAGTCAATTTCTTGATCAGCTTAAGGTCTTCCGTTCCAGCTCAAGCAAGCACCTCATCTAAGGGAGTGTTTACCCTTGCTTCTACTTTTAAAAAGTAACTTTTAAAAAAATTATACTCCGTATGAAACATGATTAATAGTAGAATTGTAGAAGTTGATAGTATTTGAAAGATAAATGATGTGGAAATTAAAAGTTAAGGTGTTTGTTGAAAAGTGCTTTTTGGTGTAATAAAAAGAAATAATTACATAAATATGATCCAGATAAAGATGATTTACAAAAATATGACTAGTTACTAGAATAGTAATGAAATCATAGTAATTCATGTTCAAGTTTTGAACTTAAGTGACCACAACACTACGTTATAGTAATGAATAGTCATGTTTATGTAAATAAGTTTTATTTTAGTAATATTATTGTAAAAAACTCTAATAAAAAGTCAAAAACTTCTCTAATACCCTAAAATTTTGAGAAAATTTGAGGGGGCTACTGACACGCACGGCTGTACGCACCACATGCCTAAAATCTGTGTGTCGGACCGAGTTTCCGTATCGTGCTACATCCACGGCATGTGCAGGCCTTTTTAGCCCAGTTCGGCCCAAATTCGATCTATTAGTATAAATACACGCCTTTCTCGAATTCCTTCATTCTTTAAACCCTAAAGCTGGCTTGACGAGCACTTTTGTCGTAGTGCATCAAAATAAATTCAATACTAGCACTTATACGTAGTATAGTGAAGTAGAGTTCGTATTCACATGGAAAAGAATAATTCTCTTTTTATGAAACTAGTAAATAAAAGGGGGGGTTTTGGGATTGTTTGATTTAATTTAATTGAACACTAAAATGAACAACTTATATGATTTTAATTAATTAGATAAAAGAGACTTGGCTTTTGCTACTTTCCACTTGTTGATATATTTAGTCGGTCCTTGTTATATCTATAACTTATCCCCTCTCGAATACTCAATCGAGGAGTATCTCCAATTCATCGAAGGCAGTTATTAACAACGACCGTTCATTAATAACTCTTACTATTAGTCAAGTATAGAACACCGCCATATACCGACTTGATAGTAGCATTTAATCCCTTAACTCCTTGATGAAATCAATTGAGATTGATAACCTCAACACAACGGTTTCGGTTTAACCAACAAAATTAACCCATCTTAAGTTTATTAACCACGACCGCGCATTAATAAACCGAAGTTACTTACTTGTGAAACCATCAACGATTAACCATCGGTTCGTTGATCATTTCTAGTAGTAATTAATGTCGAGAAGTTAACTAATTGTCATCTTAGCAACACTCCCCAACATTAATATAGAGACAGATTAAGGGAAGAATTAATATTCAAGAGAAGAAGTTAAGAAAATAACTCACAACTTTAATAATCAACAAGCTTCAAGAGCAACACCAAGAAATGGAAGTTTAGCTCCTCATTTGGAGACTAAACATGCTATAAAAATATAAAAGAAATACTATTCTAAGTTGAGCTTAAGAGTATGGAAGAAGGAGTGATTAAAAGTGAAGGAAAATGGGGTTATTTATAGGTGTTTTCAACACCTATGGCCGGATACCCGGCCGGGTTTTTTACTATTCTAAGTTGTGTTTTCTGCACGTCTTTTTGTCCGGGTCACTTCATACCCGACCGGGTAAAGGCTATACCCGACCGGCTAAGTCACCAAATCACATTTCTTGCATGATTTCTTGTTCCCTTGCACTTTCCTTTGATCTTGTAAGATCCCTTCCATGATCCTTTGATGATTCTTGATAGATTCTTGCTCAGGATGATTCCAAATTTACTAAATTACAACAAACTAGAAAAATAAAATGATTGCACCGTAAATGTGCAATTACCACAACAACACATTGTAAAAAGTAATTAAAAGTAAAAATATAAACACTCAAAAATCAATGTAATCATGGCTCCCAGACCATTTCTCTTCAAGATCTTCATCCTCAACCCATCCAAGATGAACTTTGAGACCAAGAATATGTTAATTCAATCAAATCTTCGGGTAAGTGTGTTATTAACGATTTCTTCTCGTTTCTTCGATTTCTTCGATTTATCTCTCCTAAGTAGTAACCCCACAACCGTACCCTATAAATTCCTTGGGACGTGTGTATGACCTCTCAAACTAAAATTCATGTTTAAATTTCGTTGCTAGCCTCGAGGTAAGGACTATGTCAACTAAATTTACTATTTTGCCCCTATTATGTATTAATTAGAGTTTGAGCTATGATATCAGATTCTTTATGCAATTTTATGTGTGATTCGACTATGACGGTCTTATTCGTTAATGATATGATTTTATGGAAATTTTGGAATGAACAAATTTTGAGTAAACTAATTATTTTAATTTACTATAGCCGAAATTGTGAATTGTGAGAAATTGTTTTTTTGAGTTGGAAAATTGCGGATATTATTTTGAGATAAATTATACGATAGTATATTTTTAAATGTATAATTTGGTATGAATATTTAAATATATAATCTGGAGTTATAACTATCCTTATTGGATTTTTTTGAGTATGAGACTAAACATTATTGAGAAATGGGTCAAATAGACCCTTGTACAAATGTCAATCGGTCACATAAACTCATCTACTCAAATAAGCATCACATAACCATTTGTACTCTTAAAAATCAGTCACTTAGGCCAATTTACGGGAAGATGACCGGTTTTAAGCGGTCATGTTGAGGTTTGTTCCTTCAACCCTTGGACCCAACACGTAAGCCCAAAGATTTCGAGTGGAGTGAATGTATGAATATCTAGCCCAACAACTATCAGATGGATCAGGAAACAAAGGAAATAGCAGGCAATGTAAATAGGTATTATTAACTTCGTAATAACTCCCCTAAGTACAATCTACTTGCTAAAAAGGGCACGTCGGCCGTTCGTCTTACAAGGCAGTAGAAGTGCTGCGAGTAAGAATACAATAGCTAGATGCTAAGAATAGGAAGTTGCCAACCCTTTACAATGAAATAAATGCTTCTATTTATACCCACCAATGGGCAGGTGGCTGTGCTGACGTGGCAGCCTGTGGACCACTGGTGCCCCAACTACCAAATCTTCAGCATTAAATGCACTTCCCGCCAGAATCTAGGTTTCCCGCCTAATCAGTGGGGACGTTCGTCCGCCCGGGAAATGAGTCGGATCGCTCCAAGTGACCTTCAAGAGATACCGGCTGTTCGTCTCCTGGCCTTGATAGATACTCACCATGTGGACTGG